GGCGGGGCTGAGGGGCGCTTTTTCTCCTGGGGCCCCGCCCCCCGCCCCGCCTCGCCCCGCCCTCCTGACCCCGCCCCCGCCCCGCCCTCCTGACCCCGCCCCCGCTCCGCCCTCCTGACCCCGCCCCCGCTCCGCTCCGCCCCGCCCTCCTGACCCCGCCCCGCCCCACCCTCCTGACCCCGGCCCGGACTTCAGCCGCTTCCCCCCGCCCGGGCGCCGGAAACCACCTGCCCGCGCTCCCATTTCCGAGTCCGGCCCCACTGAGCCCACCTCCTCCAGGAAGCGCTCCGGGAGGCCCCTCCTCTGACCCCTGGCCCACAGCCCAGGCCTAAAATACACTCGCGCCTTCCCGGTGCCCCTGTGTGAGTCCAGCGCGGGCAGCCCTTCCTCCTCTCGCCAAGGGCCCGGCCCCACGTGCCCGCCCCTGCGAGGCCGCCTCGCGCGTCCGCCGTGGCCTGTCCCGGGTCGGGGCGGGGATCGGACAGGGCGGGCGGCGCGAACCCTCCTCCTCCCACCCCGCGCCGGGCGGCCGCGCTCCGGAACCCAAGTTCCCGCCCCGCGGCTGCGACGGGGAAGCTAGAGCCGCGGGACACACACCTGGGACGCCCGCGGAGTGAACGCAGGCCGGGGCGCAGCGCCGCCCGCCCACCGACAGGGGGCCCCTTCTACGGCGCCGGACGGGTGCGACGCGGGAGGAGACGGCTGGGGGGGATGGGGAGGGCGGGAGGGGACTCGGGGCTGAGGGGAGGGGAGGGCGGGAGGGGACCCGGGGCTGAGGGGAGGGGAGGGCGGGAGGGGACCCGGGGCTGAGGGGAGGGGAGGGAGGGAGGAGACTTGGGGCTGAGGGGTGGGGAGGGCGGGAGGGGAGACCCGGGGCTGAGGGGGCGGGAAGAGAGGGAGGGGACTCGGGGCTGAGGGGACAGGACGGGCGAGAGGGGACCCGGGGCTGAGGGGACAGGACGGGCAGGAGGGGACCCGGGGCTGAGGGGACGGGACGGGCGAGAGGGGACGGGGAGGGAGGGAGGAGACTTGGGGCTGAGGGGTGGGGAGGGCGGGAGGGGACCCAGGGCTGAGGGGGCGGGAAGAGAGGGAGGGGACTCGGGGCTGAGGGGGCGGGAAGAGAGGGAGGGGACTCGGGGCTGAGAGTCCCAGGATGGTGGCAGCGAGGGCCCTGCAGCTGAGGACAGGAGGGTGAGAGGGAGGGGACTGGGGCCGTGGGTGAGGACACAGGCTGGAGAGGGTAGGGGTGCAGAGCCGTGCGGCTTGTAGGCTGTGGTACAGGGTGGCCTTACGAACGTGGGGGCGGGGCCGTCCTGAGGCTGCAGGGCCCGGGACTGGTGGGTGGCGCTGAGAGGACCAGCATTTGAGCTGAGGGGCAGGAAGGGGACTCCGATCTGAGACTAGGACTCGGATGCAGCTGCGCGGGAGCTCCGCCTGTCCTGGGAGCCACCTGGGCACCTGTCCTGCAGACGCAGGATTTGAACCTCAGTCCTCACTCTTCTGCTATGAATCCTGGGGCAGAAGCCTTCTCAAAGCACCCCTGCTTATCTCACCTGATGGTTCCTGACCAAGGCCACAGGGTCCCCTCCCCTGGCGGAGGTCCGCGGGGTTCGGGAATGGCTCCATTGTGGAGCAGCCCTGGATGCTGCATGGATCCCAGCATCTTGCTCTCCCAGGCCTTGGGCTCCACTTTCCTTCCCATCTTTAGTCCTCTGCTGTGGGCAAAGCTAGCGAAGTTCATCTCGGGTGCAAGTAACTGGATCTCATACTTCCCCCATCTAAAGGACACCTTAGATCAGCATCTGTTGGTACAGAAAGTCTACCCCGTCCTGCCTCCCTGCCCAGGCTTGTGAAAAGCTTGCTGTAGATGCTGCAGGGAAATGGGGGTCCACACAGCCTTGCAGGCCTTAGGAGCCTCTGGGGGCTGCTTTGTATGTGAGCTGCACTAGACCAAGCCAAGCTCTGGCAGCTGCAGTGGCTGCTCCTGTGGCTTCCTGTCCCCCATCCATGCTCCGGATCTCAGCGACCATCTGCCAAAATGCTTCCTGGCAACAACTGGCTCAGGTGCCAGCGTCATCCCAAACTGAGCTCTGCCCTCTAGGGTCGCGTGTGTGGGTTTGCTCCCGGGTTCTTGGCCTTACTCCTGAATGTGTCTCAGAGCACTTGGCCTGCTTTCTACGCCTGCCAGCTTTGTTCCAGGAGGGATCATGTGCTCCAGGCTGTGATTTGGACAACTGTCTTGTGGCCCTCGGCCAGGGAAAGGCCCCTTCACACACCTGGGGTCTGGCAGCCACACCTCAGTGGCACCATCAGACCTGCTTCAAAGCAGACTCCCACTCCAAAGGGAATCCAGCTTAAGGCTTGGGAGACCCCTTCTGGGATATAGCAGACAGACTCTAGAATGGCTCCCATGACCACCTCCTGGCATGCATGTCCTTGTGTGACCTTACCCTTGAGTGTCTGCAGAACCTGTGCCTGTTGTAACCAATACAACAAACACAAAGGTAATGGGCTATCGCTCCTGTGACATCCGGTGATCATGTGACATAAGGTTATAATACCTTCTTGCTAGCAGTCTAGCCCTCGCTAGTTTTAATGAAAGCAGCTAGACTCTAAGCTGCCCTGTGAAGAGGCCCATGTGGCAGAGTACTGGGGTCCCCTCCAGCCCCCAACTAGCAAGAAACTAGGGCCCTCAGTCATCCAGTCCACAAGGAGTTGAGTGTGGCTAGCAACAGTGTGAGCTTCATGCCTGAAGAGGAGACGACAGCCCCAGCTGACACCTCGATTGCAGCCTAACGGGACCTTGAGCAGAGAACCCAACAAAGCCACACTTGGACTCCTGCTCCATAGAAACTAGGAGATCATAAATGTGATAAATGTGTATTGTTTTAAGTTGCTAATTTGTAGTGATGTTCGTGTGTGTGTGTGTGTGTGTGCGTGCGTGCAGTATTTATTTCAAATGTTTGTTAAAACATCATTGTTATTTCTCAGGACAAGAACAAAGATCGCCCCCTGGAGCTTAGGAACTTTGTACAGAACTTTACAGAACAGAGGCAATACTTCAGCTTAAACCTGTCTGCTGACCAGAGAATGGAATTCTGCGTGGACTCAAGGAACAAAAGCAAACTAGGCAGGGATAAGGAAAAGGAAAGTGCCCGTCTGAATCAAACTTCAGCTGCCATCAGGGCACATCTTGTGATGGTCACAGGTTGTAGGCTGTTTTTTGGAAGGTTCAGGTTCAGCACAGGATTCCAGGGGTACTTGGCTACACCCCTGGCTGAGGTGCCATGAGGTCAATGTCACTCAGGTTCCTGGCCGGCCAAACTCCCGCAGCAAAGAGTCTCAGACTGAGGCTCAGGCTCCTCCGGAAGTCATTCCTCTCAGTAGTGCTGTTCTTATGCCTCCTAGATGACTCATACACAGAAGCAAGGCCACGGGAGAACTGGCCATGTGAGAGCCACTCCCCGAACACCCTAGATAACTCATACACAGAAACAAGGCCACGGGAGAACCGGTCGGGGCCCCTGCTGCTCAGCCACTCCCCACATGCTGGGACAGTTGTCTCTCTGCCCTCTAACACCAAGGTCCCCACTATCCCAGGCCTTGACTGTGGGATCAGAGAGGGACAAAAGCTCCATGGAGCCAGGCAGACTTCTCCTTCTGCAGTACTCCCTGGGCTGCTCTCACCTAGTTTGTCACACACAAGTGTAGCCGAGAGAGGCAGGAAGCTGGGCAGGGAGAGGGTGACAGCCTTGCTTAACTGAGGGATGAGTGCCCACCAAATTTCCCTTGTTTTCCTGCTCATGAGCCCCCAGGGACCTGTGTCAGTTCACTTTCTAGAGGCTTCTATATCCCCTAACTTGGATGACCTCCACAGGCCTCTCTAACTCAGTACAGAGAACATATGACCCTGGTGGCATGGGGGAAGAACCCAGCATCTCTCCCCCTGCCCAGGTTCCTGCACCCCATAGCTGCCACCCCTCTGGAACCTCTCAGGGCAGCACAAGGAGTGGTAGCCTTGGAGTAGCACTCACCCTCCGGGCACATGGTCCTCCAGATTGAATCACAGCCCAGCTCTTGCTCCCATACCCACAGCCATGAGAGCAGCCACCTCCCTAGGAGACCATGAGCACTAGACGCCAGAGCCCACCTAGGCCAGGAGGGTGCTGGGGCCAAGTTCTAGCTGCCCCCTTGGACACTGCATACCCATGAACCCAGCAAGGGTATCTGAGGGCAGCTGGGAAGAAATCTGACCACTGAAAGACTGTAGAAAGCCCCTTAAACCTCACTCTACTACCCCACGTGGATTTGGTTCCTGTGGGCTGCCCAAGAGAGCCTCTGTGGTGAAGAAGCTTCTGAGGATGTGCCCCTAAAGATGGACAAGGACACCTTTCTGTGCTGTCCCCACTCTGCACTCCATCCCCATCCCACACTGCCTCCAGCTGGAGGGTTGAGGGTTTTACGTCTGTGTCCCTGCAGCACTGTGAACTCAGCCCTACCTTCCTTGTCTTCCTCACAGCCCCTAAAGCAGGGAGCTCAGAGGAGGACATGGACAAACGGACCGTAAGTAGGCAGCCGCTCTAATGCTCCTCCTTGATATTCTCTTTTTTTTTTGAGACGGAGTTTCGCTCTTGTTACCCAGGCCGGAGTGCAATGGTGCCATCTCGGCTCACCACAGCCTCCGCCTCCTGGGTTCAGGCAATTCTCCTGCCTCAGCCTCCTGAGTAGCTGGGATTACAGGCACGTGCCGCCATGCCCAGCTAATTTTTTATATTTTTAGTAGAGACGGGGTTTCACCATGTTGACCAGGATGGTCTCGATCTCTTGACCTCGTGATCCACCCACCTTGGCCTCCCAAATGGCTGGTATTACAGGCTTGAGCCACCGCACCCGGCCCTCCTTGATATTCTCTAGAGCTACTTAGTGGAGACCTGGAGTGCATAGGAGGAAAGCAGTGGTGAACTTCCACCCTGAGACAAAAGAGCCCAGCAGACCTCACCGAGGGGTGCAGCACTTTCTTTATTACCCATCCAGGGAACAGCCGAGCCAGCTGCATCTGCATTCTGGCTGTAGCATGTACATTAGGGGGTTCAGAGGCCACATGTGGGGTGTGCACGCTGGCAGGCACTGCGGACGCTGGCAGGCACTGCGGACGCTGGCAGGCAAGCGGACATGGATAGATCAGGAGATCAGGATGACAACTCACAGGTGTCCCAGCTTCTGCTGGCTCACCTGCCAGCCACTGGCCGGCACCCTTCTGCCCAGCATGTGTGCACTGTCACACAAAATGTCCTGAAGCTTGCCATCAGTGAGGCATTCAACAAAGAAGTGAGCACAAAAGTGAGCAGGAAACTGTCCTGGAATAGACCGCACTCTGCCTGAAACAGGAAAACCATGTTTGCCAGGAAGCAGCAGCAGCAGCAGGAAAGAAATTATACCAAAAACTACTGTACACCACAGACATTCTAACCCTTTCCTCAAAGAAACGGTCATGTTCTGTTGGGTACTACGGACAGGTCTCTTCAAATGTATCTAACGACCAGCACACTTCCCCAGCAGTGCCTCGGAGTACCATGTGAATTCTGGCGTCTTGTGAGAAGCCAGGGTGCCTTCTTGTATCCAAAGCTTTGAGGGAGCTCTAAAGCTTTGGTTCCATTTTAGGAGGGCTGTGTGATGGTGTCATTTCTGCTCTGTTCTCAGTCTGTGAAGGCAGGTGACGTGATGTGCTCCTACGGGGTGCTCCCTACGTGTGCGCAGCCTCTGCTTTCCAGCTCAGTGTTTTGCGTCTCTCTGGTGTGGATGAGCCACACCTCTCAGCCTTCATTCGGTCACAGGCCTGAGCCTTTGCCTTCGTCTCCATCATCAGCTTTTTTGTCCTGCTCTAGCAGGATTAACTCTGTTCTTGCCACGGATGTCACCATCACTTTGGAGCCCAGCCCAGTGTCCACGGGTCCCCCTAGTTCACCCTCTTCCTTCTCTTCAGGGGAGAAACTTTCTCGGGCATCAAAAAAGGTGATTGTTTCTTCTTGAAGCTTTTGTTCTTCCAGCTCTGCCTCATCTTCAGTGCTTTTGCTTTTCTTGGTAGAAGATGAGGAGAGCCCTAATTTGGGAAATCGGAACCAGCCTGCCTTTTCCTGTTTTTTAGGCAGTTCAGCCTCTGGTCGCGCCTCAGGCTGGGTTTGAACAGGATCAGTTCTCTGGACGTCATCTTTGGAATCCACACCTGTCTCGTCAACAGAAGAGGAAAACCCAATGTTTGGAAGCCAAAACCACAGCAGACCGGATTTCCTACCTTCCGTTTTCTCTTTCGGAGCCCTGCCCCCATCTGCCCGCAGCGCACTTGCTTCTTGGCTGTCATCAGGGGGAAACTCAAGAATTTCTGCCGGCTCCTCATCTGAACAGCTGTCTGCAAGCTGGTGGCCGGCAGGAACTTCAGATGTGAGTGTCTGCTGTCCCAGTACGCTGACCCTGGAAGAGATCATCTCAAATGGTTCTCCAGTGTCAGGCTGGAGATCTCCAGAAATGGAGTCTACTCCGGGCGCAGCCTGTGTGGGTGCCTCTTCCGAGCCCTCCTGAGTCACTGTTGTGTACACTCTAGCCTGCGTGGGGGCCTCTGGGATTTTCACCTTTAGCAAGGAAAATCCATATGAAGGTGTTTGAATCTCTGAAGCGGGGATCTCTGATTCCCGCACGATCTGAGTGGAAAAACCCCTGGGCGCTGAGAGATCTATAAACTCTGGTGTCACCGTACTGTGTATGGTGACCTCTTGACTTTCAACATGAGCACCCTGAATATGCACTCTGACCTTTGAAATGGGGGAAGCTTCCAAAGGCAGGTTAAGGTCCACAGGCTGCTCCCTGGGGACCCCAGCACCTGCCTTCAGGATGCTGGCTCCCCAGAGCCCTGGCCTTTCCTCACAAAGGGCTAGGTCAATATTGGCTTCTGGACACTGTACTTCTCTCACAGCGGGGATGAACACATCATCCTCTGAGCTGGGGGCAGGGAAGGAGAACCTTGGTACCTTTAACTTGGGGAATTTGACAGTTACTACAGAATCTTCCCACAGCTGATCCACATCAACCACGGAAATCTGGGCTGGCACATCCGTGCTTGAGGCTCTCAGTTTCAGCGGACCTTCAGGCAGGGAAGCCCATTTCTCCGTTTTTTCCTCCATGCCAGCAAGATCACGTCGTGGCTTGGAAAGAGAAATCTCATCCATTTCTCCTAGAAGAACCTGGGTTTCTGGAAGCCTCATGCCGGGCATCTGAAAAGGGAGAGGCCCTTTGGTTGAATGGATCCTGACCTCAGAAGTGGGAAGCTCATCCCCAGCCATCCCAGCAGTGGAGAGGTGCAGCTTCAAGCCCGTGCTGTCAAGGTCACACTTTAGAACGTCTGTGGGTGATGTGTTCTCAGAAGCTGTCACTGCTGCCTCTGCTTCTGGGAGCTGTAGGGACATATTTGCCTCCACGTCTGACCCAGAAACAAGAAACTCTTTGACTCCAGCTGCTGCTTCACCCCCTGTTACTGCCGATGCCTGTGTCTGAGCCACTTCCAGCTTTCCAGCCCCACCTCCGTCCCTAAAAGAGTGCCTGAGGCTGGGCATGTGGAACTTGGGCATTTTAAGCCAGATTTCCTGCAAGTCCGTAGTCGTGCCCTCGTCCTCTGGGCTTTCCACTGTGTGCGCTTCAGCACCTGGTTTTCCACAGGATGGCTGGAGGGGGTCCTCAGGGGTGGGGGCTATCCCCTCCCCACAAGGCTGGCTTGCTGGGCCATCCCCAGGCCCACATCCCCTGCTGTCACCTTCAGTAGACAGAGTATGCTTGGGAAGAGGCAGGTCAGCTTCAGACTGGCTCACCTCCACCTTGGTCTTCGAGGATCTGAGATCAGGTTTGGCAAAGCCCAAACTAGGAATGCGGACCTGTGGCCAATGGAGGTTCACAGCCTCACCTGTGGCGCCTGCTGTTGAACCAAGTCCTCCCCCACCACCTTCACTGCTGGCCTTTTCGGTGACTTCAAAGCTACCCCCTGCTGTGGCACTAGAATGAGAAGGATCCAGGTCTCTCTGTGGCAGGCTGACACCCCCCTTAGAAGCCTTCGTTTTGGGAAGTGCAAGTTTTGGCATGGCAAAGCCAGGCTTTGTGCTGCTTCCCTTCTCTCCATCCCTCTCTGGAGGCAGATTCGTGTGCACGGCAGGCTGGGGGGCCACTTCATCCTTGTCTAAACCCAGGCTGAGTTTTGAGTCCTCCACGCTGCGTTCTGGGTCCACCTTTGGCCCTGCTTCCTTCTTTGGCGACCACCTAAATGATGGAAGCTTAAACCTGGGCATTTTGAAGGAACTCCCTTTCCCTTCGTGGTCAGCATCTTCAGTGGTGGCTCCCGGAGCAGGGGCTCCTCCGGGAGCCACCACTGAGGTCTTCAGGGAGTCCACAAGCTCTTCCAAGCCCTGGGACACAGAGGTGCCTGGGGATGGCAGCTGAGTGCTTGGCAAGGGGCACTGTAGCCCCTCTCCAGGGCTAAGAGGAGACATGACTGGGGCACCCACTGCTGGATGTAGGTCTCCCTCAGGAACTGCCATTTGGGGGACGGAAAACACAAATTTTGGTTTATAGAATTTAGGAAAAGACACCTGACCATGCGAAGCAGGGATCGTGGAACTCAGTGTACCAGAGTGACTGTCGGCTTGAGATGTCTGAACTCCCGCTGGGTGCTGCAGGTCCGTGGAACACTCTGTCTTGGGAAGACGAATCTCAGCCTGAGACCCAGAAGGAATTTGCAGAGCAAGCTCAGGGGCCAAGGAAGCTCTGGGAACAGTCACCTGGTGTTTTGTGAGTATGACACCCTCACGGGGAGAAAGGATAGAAGATTCAAAGTGGGGACCAGTGAGATCAAGCGGAGATGATGAAAATCCACACAGACCAACCCTGGGCATTGGCATGGATGGCTCCACCTCAGCCGAAGCCTGGTGTAATTCAGACTGTGAAGACTCTGAAGATGATGCCACAGGAATCGTGGAGAGACATACACCAGACTCCGCACCTGGAGCTAAACCAGCAGTTTTTGCAGAAGAAAATGCAACTTTGGGCGTTATAAACTGCAGGTTCGTGACCTTAGAATCTACTCCAGCTGTTCCAACACCAAGTCCAAACTTATCATCGGGTGATGGAACCTGAAGACCACCTTCACAAACGACTTCACACTTCCTGTCATTTACCGACACGTACTTTTCGTCCAAGGACTGGTTGCCCGCAAGCTGAAAACCGCCCAAGTTGGCTCCCAGGACATTGACATCCACCTCCATGCTGGGCAGAGACACTTCCACGTCAGGTACCGTCACCTCCGCCTTGGGGCCTTTCAGGTCCAGCTTGGGGCCCTTGACGTCCACCTGGGGGCCCTCAAGGTCCACTTTGGGCATCTTGAAGCTGGGCATCTGCACCTTGGGCAGGTGCCCTTTGAGGCCGGCTCCCTCAGACACATGGCCCTCTGGGAGCTTCACGTCCACATGGCCAGCCTGGACCTCTAGGTCAGCAGAAGGGGCCTGAATGCTGAGGTCAGTGGTCTTGAGGTCCCCCTGCATGGAGGGGAGGCCCACCTTGGCCTCCACCTTCGGCATAGACACGTCCACTGAGGCCTCGATGGACTTGCCGATGGACTTGCCAGGGGCTGACACCCTGAACGATGGCATCTTGAACTTGGGCATCCTGAATTTGCTGTCTTTGGTGGCAGCCACATGCTTGTCGGCCACGTACAAGTCACCCTCCAGTTGTGCGCCATCAAGCTTGGCTCCTGGGGCCTGGACGTCCACCTCCACACTGGGCAGAGACACTTCCACGTCAGGGGCTGTCATCTCCACCTTGGGGCCCTTGAGGTCCACCTGGGGGCCTGTGAGGTCCACTTTGGGTATCTTCAAGCTGGGCATCTGCACCTTGGGCAGGTGCCCTTTGAGGCCGGCTCCCTCAGGCACGTGGCCCTCTGGGAGCTTCACATCCACCTGGCCTGCCTGGACCTCCAGGTCGGTGGAAGGGGATTGAATGCTGAGGTCAGTGGTCTTCAGGTCCCTCTGCATGGAGGGGAGGCTCATGTCGGCCTCCACCTTTGGCGCAGACACGTCCACTGAGGCCTCGACGGACTTGCCTGGGGCCGACACCCCAAATGATGGCATCTTGAACTTGGGCATCTTGAACTTGCTGTCTTTGGTGGCGGCCACGTCCTTGTCAGCCAGGGACAGGACCCCCTCCAGCTGCCTGCCGTCAAGCTTGGCTCCCGGGGCCTGGACATCCACCTCCACGCTGGGCAGAGACACTTCCACGTTGGTGGCTGTCACCTCTGCCTTGGGGCTTTTCAGGTCGAGCTTAGGGCCCTTGACCTCCACCTGGGGACCCTTGAGGTCCACTTTGGGCATCTTGAAGCTGGGCATCTGCACCATGGGCAGGTGACCTTTGAGACCGGCTCCCTCAGGCACGTGGCTCTCCAGGAGCGTCATGTCTACCTGGCCAGCCTGGACCTCCAGGTCGGTGGAAGGGAGCTGAATGCTGAGATCAGTGGCCTTGAGGTCGCCCTGCATGGAGGGGAGGCTCACCTCGGCCTCCACCTTTGGCGCAGACACGTCCACCGAGGCCTCAATGGACTTGCCTGGGGCTGACACCCCGAATGATGGCATCTTGAACTTGGGCATCTTGAACTTGCTGTCTTTGGTGACGGCCATGTCCTTGTCAGCCAGGGACAGGTCCCCCTCCAGCTGCACGCCATCCAGCTTGGGTCCTGGGGCCTGGACATCCACATCCACACTGGGCAGAGACACCTCTATGTTGGGGGCCGTTACCTCCGCCTTGGGGCCTTTCACGTCCAGTTTGGGCCCCTTGACGTCTACCTGGGGGCCCTTGAGGTCCACTTTGGGCATCTTGAAGCTGGGCAGCTGCATCTTAGGCAGGTGCCCTTTGAGGCCAGTTCCCTCGGGCACATGGCCCTCTGTGAGCTTCAAGTCCACCTGGCCAGCCTGGACCTCCAGGTCGGCTGAAGGGGCCTGAATGCTGAGGTCAGTGGTCTTCGGGTCCCCCGGCATGGAGGGGAGGCTCACCTCGGCCTCCACCTTTGGCGCAGACACGTCCACCGAGGCCTCAATGGACTTGCCTGGGGCTGACACCCCGAATGATGGCATCTTGAACTTGGGCATCTTGAACTTGCTGTCTTTGGTGACGGCCATGTCCTTGTCAGCCAGGGACAGGTCCCCCTCCAGCTGCACGCCATCCAGCTTGGGTCCTGGGGCCTGGACATCCACATCCACACTGGGCAGAGACATCTCTATGTTGGGGGCCGTTACCTCCGCCTTGGGGCCTTTCACGTCCAGTTTGGGCCCCTTGACGTCTACCTGGGGGCCCTTGAGGTCCACTTTGGGCATCTTGAAGCTGGGCAGCTGCATCTTAGGCAGGTGCCCTTTGAGGCCAGTTCCCTCGGGCACATGGCCCTCTGTGAGCTTCAAGTCCACCTGGCCAGCCTGGACCTCCAGGTCGGCTGAAGGGGCCTGAATGCTGAGGTCAGTGGTCTTGAGGTCTTCCTGCATGGAGGGGAGGCTCACCTTGGCCTCCACCTTCGGCGCAGACATGTCCAGCGATGCATCGATGGACTTGCCTGGGACAGCCACCCCAAATGATGGCATCTTGAACTTGGGCATCTTGAACTTGCTGTCTTTGGCGGCAGCCATGTCCTTGTCAGCCAGGGACAGGTCCCCTTCCAGCTGCACGCTATCTACCTTGTCTCCCGGGGCCTGGATCTTCACCTCCACCCTGGGCAGAGATGCCTCCACATCCGGGGCAGTGGGGACCATCACTTCCGCCTTGGGGCTTTTCAGGTCCAACTTGGGCCCCTTGACGTCCACCTGGGGGCCCTTGAGGTCCACTTTGGGCATCTTGAAGCTGGGCATCTGCACCTTGGGCAGGTGCCCTTTGAGGCTGTCTCCCTCAGATATATGGCCCTCCAGGAGCTTCATGTCCACCTGGCTAGCCTGGACCTCCAGGTCAGCAGAAGGAAGCTGAATGCTGAGGTCAGTGGTCTTAAGGTCCCCTGGCATGGAGGGGAGGCTCACCTCAGCCTCCACCTTCGGCACAGACACGTCTACCGAGGTCTCGATGGACTTGCCTGGGGCTGACACCCCGAACAATGGCATCTTGAACTTGGGCATCTTGAACTTGCTGTCTTTGGTGGGGGCCATGTCCTTGTCAGCCAGGGACAGGTCCCCCTCCAGCCTCGCACCATCCAGCTTTGCTCCCAGGGCCTGAACATCCACCTCCATGCTGGGCACAGACAGCTCCACGCTGGGCGGCATCACGCCCGCCTTGGGGCCTTTCAGGTCCAGCTTGGGGCCCTTGATGTCCACCTGGGGACCCTTTAGTTCCACTTTGTGGATCTTCAAGCTGGGCATCTGCACCTTGGGCAGGTGTCCTTTGAGGCCGGCTCCCTCGGGCACATGGCCCTCTGGGAACTTCACATCCACCTGGCCAGCCTGGACCTCCAGTTCGGCAGAAAGGGGCTGAATGCTGAGGTCAGTGGTCTTGAGGTCCTCCTGCATGGAAGGGAGGCTCACCTCGGCCTCCACCTTCGGCGCAGACATGTCCACCGGTGCCTTGATGGACTTGCCTGGGGCAGTCAGCCCGAACGATGGCATCTTGAACTTGGGCATCTTGAACTTGCTGTCTTTGGTGGTGGCCATGTCCTTGTCAGCCAGGGACAGGTCCCCCTCCAGCTGCACGCCGTCCAGCTTGGCTCCCGGGGCCTGAACATCCACCTCCATGCTGGGCACAGACACCTCCACACCAGGGGCTATCACCTCTGCCTTGGGGGCTTTCAGGTCCAGCTTGGGGCCCTTGAGGTCCACTTTGGGCATCTTGAATGTGGGCATCTTGAACTTGCTGTCTTTGGCAGTGGCCACGTCCTTGTCAGCCAGGGACAGGTCCCCTTCCAGCTGCATGCTGTCTACCTTGTCTCCTGGGGCCTGGACATTCACCTCCACACTGGGCAGAGACACCTCTACATCAGGGGCAGTGGGGACCGTCACTTCCGCCTTGGGGCTTTTCAGGTCTAGCTGGGGGCCCTTGAGGTCTACTTTGGGCATCTTGAAGCTGGGCATCTGCACCTTGGGCAGGTGTCCTTTGAGGCTGGCTCCCTCAGTCATGTGGCCCTCTGGAAGCTTCACATCCACTTGGCCAGCCTGGACCTCCAGGTCGGTGATAGGGGGCTGAATGCTGAGTTCAGTGGCCTTGATATCCCCCTGCATGGAAGGGAGGCTCACCTCAGCCTCCAACTTTGGTGCAGACACGTCCAGTGAGGCCTCGATGGACTTGCCTGGGGCTGACACTCCAAATGATGGCATCTTGAACTTGGGCATCTCGAACTTGCTGTCTTTGGTGGCGGCCATGCCCTTGTCAGCCAGGGACAGGTCCCCCTCCAGCTGTGCACCATCCAGCTTGGTTCCCGGGGCCTGGACATCCACCTCCACACTGTGCAGAGGCACCTCCATGTCAGGGGCTGTCACCTCTGCCTTGGGGCCTTTCAGGTCCAGTTTGGGGCCCTTGATGTCCATCTTGGGGCCCTTGATGTCCACCTTGGGGCCCTTTAGGTCCACTTTGGGCATCTTGAAGCTGGGCATCTGCACCTTAGGCAGGTGCCCTTTGAGGCCGGCTCCCTCAGGCACGTGGCCCTCTGTAAGCTTCACATCCACCTGGCCAGCCTGGACCTGCAGGTTGGTGGAAGGAGGCTGAATGCTGAGGTCAGTGGTCTTCAGGTCCCCCGGCATGGAGGGGAGGCTCACCTCGGCCTCCACCTTCGGCACAGACATGTCCACAGACACCTCGATGGACTGGCCTGGGGCTGACACCCCAAATGATGGCATCTTGAACTTGGGCATCTTGAACTTGCTTTCTTTGGTGGCAGCCACGTCCTTGTCAGCCAGGGACAGGTCCCCCTCCAGCTGCGTGCCATCCAGCTTGGCTCCTAGGGCATGAACGTCCACCTTCATGCTTGGCACAGACAGCTCCACATCGGACGGCATCACCCCCACCCTGGGGCCTTTAAAGTCCAGCTTGGGGCCCTTGACGTCCACATGGGGGGCATTTAGGTCCACTTTGGGCATCTTGGAGCTGGGCATCTGCACCTTGGGCATGTGGCCCTCCGGGACCTTCACGTCCACCTGGCCAGCCTGGACCTCCAGCTCTCCGATACGGGGCTGAATGCTGATGTCAGTGGTCTTGATATCCCCCTGTATGGAAGGGAGGCTCACCTCGGCCTCCACCTTCGGCACAGACACATCCACTGAGGCCTCAAAGGACTTGCCTGGGACCGACACCCCGAATGATGGCATCTTGAGCTTGGGCATCTTGAACTTGCTGTCTTTCGTGGCAGCCATGCCCTTGTCAGCCAGGGACAGGTCCCCCTCCAGCTGCGTGCCATACAGCTTGCCTTCCCGGGCCTGGACGTCCACCTCCACACTAGGCAGAGACACCTCCACGTTGGGAGCTGTCACCTCTGCCTTGGGGCCTTTCAGGTCCAGTTTGGGGCCCTTGATGTCCACCTCAGGGCCCTTTAGGTCCACTTTTGGCATCTTGAAGCTGGGCATCTGCACCTTGGGCAGGTGCCCTTTGAGGCCGACTCCCTCGGGCACGTGGCCCTTTGGGAGCTTTATGTCCACCTGGCCAGTCTGAACCTCCAGGTCAGTGGAAGGAAGCTGCATTCTGAGGTCAGTGGTCTTCAGGTCCTCTGGCATGGAGGGGAGGCTCACCTCAGCCTCCACCTTCGGCACAGACACGTCCAGTGAGGCCTCGATGGACTTGCCTGGGGCTGACACCCCGAATGATGGCATCTTGAACTTGGGCATCTTGAACTTGCTGTCTTTGGTGACAACCATGTCCTTGTCAGCCAGGGATGGGTCCCCCTCAAGCTGCGTGCCATCCAGCTTGGTTCCCAAGGCCTGGACGTCCACCTCCACACTGGGCAGAAGCACCTCCGTGTCAGGGGCCATCACCTCCGTCTTGGGGCCTTTCAGGTCCAGTTTGGGGCCCTTGACGTCCATCTTGGGGCCCTTGACGTCCACCTTGGGGCCCTTTAGGTCCACTTTGGGCATCTTGAAGCTGGGCATCTGCACCTTCGGCAGGTTCCCTTTGAGGCCGACTCCCTCGGGAACGTGGCCCTCTGGGAGCTTCACGTCCACCTGACCAGCCTGGACCTCCAGGTCAGCAGAAGGAGGCTGCATGCTGAGGTCAGTGGTCTTCAGGTCCCCCGGCATGGAGGGGAGGCTCACCTCGGCCTCCATCTTCGGCACAGACACATCCACAGAGGCCTCAGTGGACTTGCCTGGGGCTGACATCCCGAACGACGGCATCTTGAACTTGGGCATCTTGAACTTGCTGTCTTTGATGGTGGTTATGTCCTTGTCAGCCAGGGACAGGTCCCCCTCCAGCCGCATGCTGTCTACCTTGTCTCCTGGGGCCTGGACGTTCACCTCAACACTGGGCAGAGACACCTCTACATCTGGGGCTGTGGGGACCGTCACTTCTGCCTTGGGGCTTTTCAGGTCCAGCTTGGGGCTTTTGACATCCACCTGGGGGCCCTTGAGGTCCACTTTGGGCAACTTGAAGCTGGGCATCTGCACTTTGGGCACGTGCCCTTTGAAGCCAGGTCCCTCAGGCATGTGACCCTCTGGGACCTTCACGTCCACCTGGCCAGCCTGGACCTCCAGGTCACCGATATGGGGCTGAAAGCTGATGTCAGCAGTCTTGATATCCCCCTGTATAGAAGGGAGGCTCACCTCGGCCTCCACCTTCGGCGCAGACACATCCACTGAGGCCTCAAAGGACTTGCCTGGGACCGACACTCCGAATGATGGCATCTTGAGCTTGGGCATCTTGAACTTGCTGTCTTTGGTGGCAGCCATGCCCTTGTCAGCCAGGGACAGGTCCCCCTCCAGCTGCGCGCCATCCAGCTTGCCTTCCCGGGCCTGGACGTCCACCTTCACACTGGGCAGAGACACCTCCACGTTGGGAGCTGTCACCTCTGCCTTGGGGCCTTTCAGGTCCAGTTTGGGGCCCTTGATGTCCAACTCAGGGCCCTTTAGGTCCACTCTTGGCATCTTGAAGCTGGGCATCTGCGCCTTGGGCAGGTGCCCTTTGAGGCCGGCTCCCTCGGGCACATGGCCCTCTGGGAGCTTCACATCCACCTGACCAGCCTGGACCTCCAGGTCAGCGGAAGGAGGCTGAATGCTGAGGTCAGTGGTCTTCAGGTCCCCTGGCATGGAGGGGAGGCTCACCTCGGCCTCCACCTTTGGCACAGACACGTCCAGTGAGGCCTCGATGGACTTGCCTGGGGCTGACACCCCGAATGATGGCATCTTGAACTTGGGCATCTTGAACTTGCTGTCTTTGGTGACGGCCATGTCCTTGTCAGCCAGGGACAGGTCCCCCTCCAGTTGCGCGCCATCCAGCTTGGTTCCCGGGGCCTGAACATTCACCTCCATGCTGGGCAGAGGCACCTCCATGTCAGCGACCATCACCTCCACGCTGGGCAGAGGCACCTCCATGTCAGCGGCCATCACCTCCACCTTGGGACCTTTCAGGTCCAGTTTGGGGCCCTTGATGTCCATCTTGGGGCCCTTTAGGTCCACTTTTGGCATCTTGAAGCTGGGCATCTGTACCTTGGGCAGGTGCCCTTTGAGGCCAGATCCCTCGGGCACATGGCCCTCTGGGAGCTTCACGTCCATCTGGCCAGCCTGGACCTCCAGGTCAGCAGAAGGAAGCTGCATGCTGAGGTCAGTGGTCTTCAGGTCCCCCGGTATGGAGGGGAGGCGCACCTCAGCTTCCATCTTTGGCGCAGACACGTCCAGTGAGGCCTCAATGGACTTGCCTGGGGCAGCCACCCCGAACGATGGCATCTTGAACTTGGGCATCTTGAACTTGCTGTCTTTGGTGGTGGCCATGTCCTTGTCAGCCAGGGACAGGTCCCCCTCCAGCTGCACGCCATCCAGCTTTGCTCCCGGGGCCTGAACATCCACCTCCATGCTGGGCACAGACACCTCCACATCAGGGGCTATCACCTCTGCCTTGGGGCCTTTCAGGTCAAGCTTGGGGCCCTTGAGGTCCACTTTGGGCATCTTGAACTTGGGCATCTCGAGCTTGCTGTCTTTGGCAGTGGCCACGTCCTTGTCAACCAGGGACAGGTCCCCTTCCAGCTGCATGCTGTCTACCTTGTCTCCTGGGGCCTGGACGTTCACTTCCAGGCTGGACAGAGACACCTCTTCATCGGGGGCTGTGGGGACCGTCACTTCTGCCTTGGGGCTTTTCAGGTCCACCTGGGGGCCCTTGAGGTCCACTTTGGGCAACTTGAAGCTGGGCATCTGCACTTTGGGCACGTGCCCTTTGAAGCCAGCTCCTGCAGACATGGGGCCCTCCGGGACCTTCACATCTACCTGGCCAGCCTGGACCTCCAGGTCGCCGATATGGGGATGAAAGCTGATGTCAGCGGTCTTGATATCCCCCTGTATGGAAGGGAGGCTCACCTCGGCCTCCACCTTCGGCGCAGACACATCCACTGAGGCCTCAAAGGACTTGCCTGGGACCGACACTCCGAATGATGGCATCTTAAGTTTGGGCATCTTGAACTTGCTGTCTTTGGTGACAGCCATGCCCTTGTCAGCCAGGGACAGGTCCCCCTCCAGCTGTGCGCCATCCAGCTTGCCTTCTCGGGCCTGGACGGCCACCTCCACACTGGGCAGTGACACCTCCAGGTCAGGAGCTGTCACCTCTGCCTTGGGACCTTTCAGGTCCAGTTTGGGGCCCTTGACATCCACCTCGGGGCCCTTTAGGTCCACTTTTGGCATCTTGAAGCTGGGCATCTGCACTTTGGGCAGGTGCCCTTTGAGGCCGGCTCCCTGGGGCATGTGGCCCTCTGGGAGCTTCACGTCCAACTGGCCAGCCTGGACCTCCAGGTCGGCTGAAGGGGCCTGAATGCTGAGGTCAGTGGTCTTCGGGTCCCCCGGCATGGAGGGGAGGCTCACCTCGGCCTCCACCTTTGGCACAGACAGGTCCAGTGAGGCCTCGATGGACTTGCCTGGGGCTGACACCCCGAATGATGGCATCTTGAACTTGGGCATCTTGAACTTGCTGTCTTTGGTGGTGGCCATGTCCTTGTCAGCCAGGGACAGGTCCCCCTCCAGCTGCACGCTGTCCAGCTTGGCTCCCGGGGCCTGTATGTCCACATCCATGCTGGGTACAGACACCTCCACATCAGGGGCCATCACCTCTGCCTTGAGAGCTTTCAGGTCCACCTTGGGGCCCTTGACATACACTTGGGGGCCCTTGAGGTCCACTTTGGGCATCTTGAACTTGCTGTCTTTGGCAGTGGCCACGTCCTTGTCAGCCAGGGACAGGTCCCCTTCCAGCCGCATGCTGTCTACCTTGTCTCCTGGGGCCTGGACATTCACGTCCACGCTGGACAGAGACACCTCTACATCAGGGGCTGTGGGGACCGTCACTTCTGCCTTGGGGCCTTTCAGGTCCAGTTTGGGGCCCTTGACGTCCACCTTGGGGCCCTTTAGGTCCACTTTTGGCATCTTGAAGCTGGGCATCTGCACCTTGGGCAGGTGCCCTTTGAGGCCGACTCCCTCAGGCAAGTGGCCCTCTGGTAGCTTCACGTCCACCTGGCCAGCCTGGACATCCAGGTTGGCAGAAGGAGGCTGAATGCTTAGGTCAGTGGTCTTGAGGTCCCCCGGCATGGAGGGGAGGCTCACCTCAGCCTCCACCTTCGGGACAGACACGTCCAGTGAGGCCTCGATGGACTTGCCTGGGGCTGACACCCCGAATGATGGCATCTTGAACTTGGGCATCTTGAACTTGCTGTCTTTGGTGGTGGCCATGTCCTTATCAGCCATGGACGGCTCCCCCTTTAGCTGCGCACCATCCAGCTTGGTTCCCAGGGCCTGGACGTCCACCTCCACACTGGGCAGAAGCACCTCCATGTCAGAGGCTGTCACCTCCGCCTTGGGGCCTTTCAGGTCCAGTTTGGGGCCCTTGACGTCCATCTTGGGGCCCTTGACGTCCACCTCAGGGCTCTTTAGGTCCACTTTTGGCATCTTGACGCTGGGCATCTGTACCTTGGGCAGGTGCCCTTTGAGGCTGGCTCCCTCAGGCACCTGGCCCTCTGGGAGCTTCACGTCCACCTGACCAGCCTGGACCTCCAGGTCAGCGGAAGGAGGCTGAATGCTGAGGTCAGTGGTCTTCGGGTCCCCCGGCATGGAGGGGAGGCTCACCTCGGCCTCCATCTTCAGTGCAGACACGTCCACTGAGGCCTCGATGGACTTGACTGGGGCTGACACCCCAAATGATGGCATCTTGAACTTGGGCATCTTGAACTTGCTGTCTTTGGTGGCGGCCATGTCCTTGTCAGCCAGGGACAGGTCCCCCTCCAGCTGCACGCCGTCCAGCTTGGCTCCCGGGGCCTGTATGTCCACATCCATGCTGGGTACAGACACCTCCACATCAGGGGCCATCACCTCTGCCTTGAGAGCTTTCAGGTCCACCTTGGGGCCCTTGACATACACTTGGGGGCCCTTGAGGTCCACTTTGGGCATCTTGAACTTGCTGTCTTTGGCAGTGGCCACGTCCTTGTCAGCCAGGGACAGGTCCCCTTCCAGCCGCATGCTGTCTACCTTGTCTCCTGGGGCCTGGACATTCACGTCCACGCTGGACAGAGACACCTCTACATCAGGGGCTGTGGGGACCGTCACTTCTGCCTTGGGGCCTTTCAGGTCCATCTTGGGGCCCTTGATGTCCACTTGGGGGCCCTTGACGTCCACTTTGGGCATCGTGAACTTGGGCATCTTGAACTTGCTGTCTTTGGTGGCAGCCATGTCCTTGTCAACCAGGGACAGGTCCCCCTCCAGCTGCACACCATCCAGCTTGCCTTCCCGGGCCTGGACGTCCACCTCCACACTGGGCAGAGACACCTCCACGTCGGGAGCTGTAACCTCTGCCTTGGGGCCTTTCAGGTCCAGTTTGGGGCCCTTGACGTCCACCTCGGGGCCCTTTAGGTCCAGTTTGGGCATCTTGAAGCTGGGCATCTGCACCTTGGGCAGGTGACCTTTCAGGCCGACTCCCTCGGGCAAGTGGCCCTCTGGGAGCTTCACGTCCACCTGGCCAGCCTGGACATCCAGGTTGGCAGAAGGAGGCTGAATGCTTAGGTCAGTGGTCTTCAGGTCCCCCGGCATGTAGGGGAGGCGCACCTCAGCCTCCACCTTCGGCACAGACACGTCCAGTGAGGCCTCGATGGACTTGCCTGGGGCTGACACCCCGAATGATGGCATCTTGAACTTGGGCATCTTGAACTTGCTGTCTTTGGTGACGGCCATGTCCTTGTGAGCCAGGGACAGGTCCCCCTCCAGCTGCGTGCCATCCAACTTGATTCCCGGGGCCTGGACGTCCACCTCCACATTGGGAAGAGGCACCTCCATGTCAGGGGCCGTCACCTCTGCCTTGGGGCCTTTCAGGTCCAGTTTGGGGCCCTTGATGTCCACCTTGGGGCCCTTTAGGTCCAGTTTGGGCATCTTGAAGCTGGGCATCTGCACCATGGGCAGGTGCCCTTTGAGGCCGGCTCCCTCAGGCACGTGCCCCTCTGGGAGCTTCACGTCCACCTGGCCAGCCTGGAACTCCAATTCAGCGGTAGGGGACTGAATGTTGAGGTCAGTGGTCTTGAGGTCACCCTGCATGGAGGGGAGGCTCACCTCAGCCTCCACCTTCGGCGCAGACACGTCCACTGAGGCCTCGATGGACTTGCCTGGGGCTGACACCCCGAATGATGGCATCTTGAACTTGGGCATCTTGAACTTGCTGTCTTTGGTGGTGGCTATGTCCTTGTCGGCCAGGGACAGGTCCCCCTCCAGCGGCACGCCATCCAGCTTGGCTCCCGGGGCCTGGACGTCCACCTCCACACTGGGCAGAAGTACCTCCATGTCAGAGGCTGTCACCTCCGCCTTGGGGCCTTTCAGGTCCAGTTTGGGGCCCTTGACGTCCATCTTGGGGCCCTTGACGTCCACCTTGGGGCCCTTTAGGTCCACTTCTGGCATCTTGAAGCTGGGCATCTGCACCTTGGGCAAGTGCCCTTTGGGGCTGCCTCCCTCGGGCACCTGGCCCTCTGGGAGCTTCACGTGCACCTGGCCAGCCTGGACCTCCAGGTCAGCGGAAGGTGGGTGAATGCTGAGGTCAGTGGTCTTCGGGTCCCCCGGCATGGAGGGGAGGCTCACCTCGGCCTCCACCTTCGGCACAGACACGTCCAATGAGGCCTCGATGGACTTAACTGGGGCTGACACCCCGAATGATGGCATCTTGAACTTGGGCATCTTGAACTTGCTGTCTTTGGTGACGGCCATGTCCTTGTGAGCCAGGGACAGGTCCCCCTCCAGCTGCGTGCCATCCAACTTGATTCCCGGGGCCTGGACGTCCACCTCCACATTGGGAAGAGGCACCTCCATGTCAGGGGCCGTCACCTCTGCCTTGGGGCCTTTCAGGTCCAGTTTGGGGCCCTTGATGTCCACCTTGGGGCCCTTTAGGTCCACTTTTGGCATCTTGAAGCTGGGCATCTGCACCTTGGGCAGGTGCCCTTTCAGGCCGGCTCCCTCAGGCACATGGCCCTCCAGAAGTTTCACGTCCACGTGGCCAGCCTGGAACTCCAGGTCAGTGGTAGGGGACTGAATGTTGAGGTCAGTGGTCTTGAGGTCACCCTGCATGGAGGGGAGGCTCACCTCGGCCTCCACCTTCGGTGCAGACACGTCCACTGAGGCCTCGATGGACTTGCCTGGGGCTGACACCCCGAATGATGGCATCTTGAACTTGGGCATCTTGAACTTGCTGTCTTTGGTGACGGCCATGTCCTTGTCAGCCAGGGACAGGTCCCCCTCCAGCTGCACACCATCCAGCTTGCCTTCCCGGGCCTGGACGTCCACCTCCACACTGGGCAGAGACACCTCCACGTCGGGAGCTGTAACCTCTGCCTTGGGGCCTTTCAGGTCCAGTTTGGGGCCCTTGACATCCACCTTGGGGCCCTTTAGGTCCACTTTGGGCATCTTGAAGCTGGGCATCTGCACCTTGGGCAGGTGCCCTTTCAGGCCGGCTCCCTCAGGCACGTGCCCCTCCGGGAGCTTCATGTCCACCTGGCCAGCCTGGAACTCCAGATCAGCGGTAGGGGACTGAATGTTGAGGTCAGTGGTCTTGAGGTCACCCTGCATGGAGGGGAGGCTCACCTCGGCCTCCACCTTCGGCGCAGACACGTCCACTGAGGCCTCGATGGGCTTGCCTGGGGCTGACACCCCGAATGACGGCATCTTGAACTTGGGCATCTTGAACTTGCTGTCTTTGGTGATGGCTATGTCCTTGTCAGCCAGGGACAGGTCCCCCTCCAGCTGCGCGCCGTCCAGCTTGCCTTCCCGGGCCTGGACATCCACCTCCACACTGGGCAGAGACACCTCCACGTCGGGAGCTGTAACCTCTGCCTTGGGGCCTTTCAGGTCCAGTTTGGGGCCCTTGACGTCCACCTTGGGGCCCTTTAGGTCCACTTTTGGCATCTTGAAGCTGGGCATCTGCACCTTGGGCAGGTGCCCTTTCAGGCCGGCTCCCTCAGGCACGTGGCCCTCCGGAAGCTTCACGTCCACCTGACCAGCCTGGGACTCCAGGTCAGCGGTAGGGGACTGAATGTTGAGGTCAGTGGTCTTGAGGTCACCCTGCATGGAGGGGAGGCTCACCTCGGCCTCCACCTTCGGCGCAGACACGTCCACTGAGGCCTCGATGGACTTGACTGGGGCTGACACCCCGAATGATGGCATCTTGAACTTGGGCATCTTGAACTTGCTGTCTTTGGTGACGGCCATGTCCTTGTCAGCCAGGGACAGGTCCCCCTCCAGCTGCGTGCCGTCCAGCTTGGTTCCCGGGGCCTGGACGTCCACCTTCACACTGGACAGAGACATCTCTACGTCAGGGGCCGTCGCCTCCACCTTGGGGCCTTTCAGGTCCAGTTTGGGGCCCTTGACATCCACCTGGGGGCCCTTGAGGTCCACTTTGGGCATCTTGAAGCTGGGCAGCTGCACCTTGGGCAGGTGCCCTTTCTGGCCAGCTCCCTCAGGCACGTGGCCCTCTGTTAGCTTCAAGTCCACCTGGCCAGTCTGGGCCTCCAGGTCAGCAGAAGGGGCCTGAATGCTTAGGTCAGTGGTCTTCAGGTCCCCCTGCATGGAGGGGAGACTCACCTTGGCCTCCACCTTTGGCGCAGACATTTCCACCGATGCCTCGATGGACTTGCCTGGGGCAGCCACCCCAAATGATGGCATCTTGAACTTGGGCATCTTGAACTTGCTGTCTTTGGTCGTGGCCATGTCCTTGTCGGCCAGGGACAGGTCCCCCTCCAGCTGCACGCCGTCCAGCTTGGCTCCCGGGGCCTGGACATTCACCTCCACGATGGGCAGAGACACCTCCACGTCAGGGGCTGTGGGGTCCATCGCCTCCACCTTAGTCCCTTTTAGGTCCAGCTTGGGGCCCTTGACATCCACCTCGGGGCCCTTGAAGTCCACTCTGGGCATCTTGAAGCTGGGCATCTGCACCTTGGGCACATCCCCTTTGAGGCTGGCTCCCTCGGGGATATGGCCCTCCAGGACCTTCAGGTCCAACTGGCCAGTCTGGACCTCCAGGGTGGTGCAAGGGGGCCCAATTTTAAGGTCAGTGGTCTTGAGGTCCCCCTGCATGGAGGGGAGGCTCACCTCAGCCTCCACCTTCGGTGCAGACACCTCCACCGAGGTCTTGATGGACTTGTCTGGGGCTGACACCCCGAATGATGGCATCTTGAACTTGGGCATCTTGAACTTGCTGTCTTTGGTGGTGGCTATGTCCTTGTTGGCCAGGGACAGGTCCCCCTCCAGCTGCGTGCCATCCAGCTTGAGTCCCGGGGCCTGAACATCGACCTCCACGCTGGGCAGAGACACCTCCACATCGGGTGCTGTCATCTCCATTTTGGGGCTTTTCAGGTCCAGCTTGGGGCCCTTGACACCCAGCTCAGGGCCCTTGAGGTCCACTTTGGGCATCTTAAAGCTGGGTGTCTGCATCTTGGGCAGGTGCCCTTTGAGGCCAGCTCCCTCGGGCACATGGCCCTCCTGGAGCTTCAAGTCCACCTTGCCAGCCTGGACCTCCTGGTCGGCTGAAGGGCCCTGAATGCTGTGGTCAGTGGTCTTGAGGTCGCCCTGCATGGAGGGGAGGCTCATGTCGGCCTCCACCTTCGGCACAGACACGTCCACCGAGGCCTCGATGGACTTGCTTGGGGCTGACACCCCGAACGATGGCATCTTGAACTTGGGCATCTTGAACTTGCTGTCTTTGGTGGCAGCCAAGTCCTTGTCTTTCAGAATTGTTTCCGTTTTTAATCGTTGCTGCTCATGTTTCAGTTGTATTTCTGTTGTGTCCATCAGTGAGTCCCTGTCGTCTTTTTCTCTGGGGCCTGCCGCTGTGCCTGTCGATTCTCCTCTGGCACCCGTCGCTATTGCGCCTCCCCTTCCCTGCTCTAGGTCCCGTGTGGCTTTTTCTCTCCCTGTCTTTGTTTCCTTGCCTGGTGACCATCCAAAAGAGGGCATCTTGAACTTGGGCATTCTCATCTTTCCTTCTGTGTCTTCCTCATCTTTCTCCTGTCCGTGAGTGATCTCTGTCCTCTGTAGTCCTTCCTGTGTGTCTCCTGCACCCTGCTGTGCTTCTATATGTGTGGGGGGTTCCCTCCCTGGCACCCACCCTGCTCCTTGCCCCTCCTCACCCTTTGGGCAAGTATCCTCTTTTAAGGGCAAGTCCTGTCTCTTTCCTCTCTGTGCCGCACTAAGGTGTCTTTCTCTTTCTGGCTCTTTTTCTGTGGAAAATGCAAATTTTGGCATCTTTAAATCGTGTATTCGCACCCTAATTTCAGGTGGGCCACTCTGGGTGCCTCCTTGAGTTGTGTCTCTCAAGGACATTCTGGCAATCCCAATCTCCAGGCTCTGCAGACCCTCACCTTCACCCTCCTCACTTATTTGAGGAGTTTGCTGGGTTCTGGGCTTCCTCTGGGTCACTGCTGCCTCCCGTGCCTGCCCCTCCAGGGTCTTTCTGTGGTGCCTGGCTGCCCTGGGTGCCCCTTCCTCGGGGGTTCCCTTGCAAATGGTAGGGTCACCAAGCTCTGTGGGCCACTGCATGCTCTGAGCAGGCATCACCTCTCGATCCTGTTCTGCTCCCTCCTCTCTCCTGCTGTCTGTGACAGCCCCAGCATCCTCGCAGCTATCACCCCAGGGTCCCAGCTCTTCCAGGATCCCAGCATGGCCCACCCCACTCTGGGACCCCCTGCCTGACTGTTCTGTCACCGAAGGGCCCTCTCCAGAGCCTGTCCTGAATCTCAGGTTGAGAAACTTTCGCCTCCTCTGGCTGCCTGGCCCTGCCTTCTGCTCTTGGCGCTCCACCATGAGCTGGGCCTCTGTGTCTGTGCTTGTGGGGGACACATCATGTGCGTCCCTGCGCTCATAGGCCTCTGAGGAGCTGTGTGACCTCTGGGGCCCTGGACCCCGCTTGCTCTTTATGGACTGAAATTTTGGCCAAGAGAGCCTCTCCCTCTGGGGCCGCCTGCCTCTCCCCACCCTAGGTTTGGAGATGAGTCTCTCTTGGTCCCCATCTGTTTCCAGAATTTTTGTGGGGGTCTCTCTGTACCCATCAGCAACATCCATGTCCTGAAACACAAGGAGAGGGAATCTGTTGGTGACAGTCCGAGAAGCCTGAGGCCCTGGCCCAGGGACAGGTGGGGTGGGAGTGCTGCCCCCTCCCAGGCTCAGCCAGCAGGGTAGTAAAGACAGTTGGGGCCCTACCTCATGGGCATGGTGGCCTCACCTCCTTCTCCTTGCCCTGTGGGCCATGCTGGGCATCGCTGGAAGCCCACTCTTCATCCTGTGGGGCAGGGAGCTGCCGTCTGATTTTGAACTGAACCCGGTACGGCTCTGAGTACTGTAGGATCTTGAGAGCATCTTCATATTTTATATTGTCGAAGAACACAGTTGCACTGAGCAGCTGATCTCCTAGACCAAGAAAGAGCAGCCCCAGGCCGGGTGTGAATGAGAGGGGGTCCGCTCTCTTGCCTTGGCCAGGGAGAAGGGCCCCAAGGGCATGAATAGGGGAGATCCCACTGAGTCTGCCCTACCAGTCCCCGACTGAGTGCCTCAGGCACAGGGAAGGTGCATGGGGTCCTCCTTTTTACCAGACGCAGTGGGTGATCCCAGCCTCAAGTGGCTGAGCAGAGACACGAGGGGGTCATCCTAAGCTCCAGGTGTGGCTCCTATCCCCTTAATGTCCCCCTCCAAGTCCCGCCCGTCCTGGTAGGGAGAATAGGGACCTCAGAGATGGAGCTGCCATGGCACCTTCTCTCAAGTTGAAAAGCTTGGCGGCCGAGGAGTCCTTCAGTACTTGTTTGACGAAGATCCCCTGGTCCCCGCCGCCTGTGACACTGTAGCCACTGGCTCCTGTCTCTGCCTCTGTCTTCAGTGTCACCTCTGTTGCCTGCTGCACAGACTGGAACAGAAGCACATCATGGCCATGGTGACCATATGTCAGGCCCACCATAGGCATCCTTGACCGGGCCTGTGTCTCCCAAGGACAGGTTCCCCACCGTCCTGCCCGTCAGCCTGGACAACAGACAGCAGGGTGGGGCACCCACCGGGTGGGCTCAGGGAGCTGTGTCTGAGCCCTGGAGGGAGCCAGCTACAGCCTGCCAGAACTCTTGTCCCCACCCCAGACTGCCAGGACTTAGGCACAGCCTGTCCACGCCACCAGGCCCAGCAAGGCACCAGGAGCAGGGAGGAATGGCTTCTGCTTTTTCTGTGGCCAAAGGTTCCCTTTTTCAGTTTCTTCACGCATTCTTCACAAACACAGAAAGCACCGACTGTGTGCAGGGCACACAAGCCAAGGAAAACGCAGGACGTTGGGCACAGCCTGCTGGGCCTGGGACAGGGCCTGTGTCCTGCAGAGCTCTTGGACGTCTGGGGCCTCCAAGGACAAAACCAGTTGCTTTAGAGGCAGAGTGTCCTCATCACTGGGTGCTAGCAGAGTCTGGCACACGGCTACATGGCCTGGGAGCTGCCTGGCCCTTCCAGCCCCACAGCTTGAATATGCAACAGACGTCATTGTACAGCGGAGAAAACTGAGGTCGGCACAGCCAGGACTACCTGGCCGGGAACTTGGCTGTGCATCAAACTGTACACCAGGAAGGGGTGGAGGGGAAGGTCAGGACAAGATTCAGCCTTCTGGAGACCCTGCCCTTCCCCAGGCCTGACGAGGGGGACAAGAACACCCCTCCTCAAGGTATGGGGCACACTGCCAGCTTCCTTGCTCCTCCCCTGCCTGCTCTGAACTCAGACTCCCTGGCTGGATCCCTTGTGGACAGACACACCTCTGTGACCCTCAGCCCCTGCTATACCCACCTCTGGACGACTCATCCTGAAAAATGTCCGTGAGTCCCCTGAATCCCGCTTCCACCAGGATCTCCGTCTCCCAGAGGAACCTTGCCTGCCGGGGGCGTCTTCCTGCAGCCATAAGCGTTGCAAGTTAGGCACCAGCCCCAGCTCAGGGACAGGGAGGGGCACGGGTAGGCTGGCACCAGACCAGGAGCCCTCCCTTCAGAGGGGCCCAGAACCTCCAACATGCAGCTGTGTGCAGAGGGAGCCGAGTTCTTCCGGGCACATCCACAGAGAGAAGGCAACTGTTGGCCGTCCCGCTTCCTGACAGGGCCCAGCCCAGAGCCCACAGCTCCCGCAGGGAAGCCCCACGGCAACTGGAGTTTTGTATGGAGGGAGATAAGAAATTCAAGTACAAAAATGAATCCTTTCCTAGACATGCCTCCTCTGATCCCTTCCCTGAGTCCTCATCTCCAGAGGTAGCCATGGGGCTACCCAAAGACAGCATGAGTGTGTGACACAGGTGCACATATGCACACACCATGTGCCCCTGAAACAGATTCATGAAGTCTGCTCCCCATCAGCCCACACGCATGCTCACGAGAACTGCAGGGCACCTCCATCCCACTGTGTCCTGGCAGGGAGGGATCCCCAGGGCACAGAGGAGTCTGAGAGGAGTGTGGCCCACTGGGCAGTGGGTCAGGACAGCAGGGCTGCACAGACGTGTGTGAGTTGCCCACACAGGACAATGCAGGAGGAGACCTGGGTGCCTGTGGGGTTCTACCCAGTAGGCTCACCTGGAGTCCAAAGTCAGCAGCCTCAGTCGAGTATTCGTAGACAGGTGAAGACCCCTGTGGCCGTGGTCGAATGACCTCATCCGCAGGCCCCTCAGTCACCTGATGGGAGAGAATCCAGTTACCTTTGCCACTTGGCTCTCCCAGGGCCCGGGGAGTGCGGAGGTGGGGAGTGAGGAGGACACGCCCCCTGCTGTCACTTACAGAGCGGTCATCTTCCGTTTCTGCATCTGGCTCCCCAGGCTGCAGCTGTCGGCCGGACACTGAAGAGAGAGTGGCTGTCAGTGGGGACAAGCAGGCTAGGGGAGCAGAAGGGGGCCCGGGGGGGGGCACATGTGCACTGTCAAGGTGGCATAGTCCTGTCCTGGACACTGGATCTGAGAGAAAATTCAGGGCTGGGGAAGATCTATAGCCACTGGGCTGGAGAGGCTGTGGCGTCAGGTCAGGCAGCCGTGAATCGAGACTGGACTCGTTTCAAGTTGGGACAGATTTAGTCCGAGAAAGTCACTAAACAAACACAAGGTGTCTATTGTTGTATGACCACCCCCTGGGAGGATCAGAATCCGGAGTCCTAGAATATGGTCTAAAATGTCCAGCAGCCAGCAAAAATTTCAAATCACACAAAGAAACGGATGTGTGAACCGTACCGAGAAAGAAAGCGTCTCTAAACGTCCGCCCGTGCCGGCTTTAACACAGACTCCAGAGAAACTATTAAAAACGTGTTCAAAACACACAAACACAATCATGTGTTAAAAATCAATGGAAAATATGTTAACAGTGGGTCGGCGAAGAGAGAATCCCATAAAGAAATAGAACTTATTTTTTTAAAGGCAAGCAAAAATCCTGGAGTTGAAAACTTGCTACTGGGGTTCACCAACAGCACTGAGACACTAGAAAAAGCATCAGCTTGTAGATTAATATAAACTAACCAACTGGAAAAGCAGTGGTCGGGGGAAGGTTGGATGAAGACAAACAGCCTCAGAGATCTGTGGAGCATTAACCACAGATGAAGACGCAGAGAGAGAGCTGAGGCGACGGCTGAGAACAACCTACAGAATCCAAGAGGCTCGACCAAACCCGGGCAGGAGAAAACCAGAGATCCACACCCAGACGCCATCGTCAAAATGCGTAAGGGAAAGGGACCCATCACATAACAAGGGCACAAAAACACAACTAACACTTGAATCGTATCAAAACCACGGAAGCTGGAATAAAGTGGGATGATCTACTCAGGGCTGGAAAAGCGTTGTCAAGAAAGGATTTGACATCAAGCAACCTATCTCTCAAAAATAAAGGCAAAATAGTCTGGGCATGATGGCTTATGCCCGTAATCCCAGCACTTTGGGATACTGAGGTGGGAGGATTGCTTGAGCCCAGAAATTCATGACCAGCCCGAGCAATATAGTAAGATCTCTACAAAAAATCCTTTTATTAGTGGGGCATGGTGGTGCACGCCCGTAGTCCCAGCTGCTCAGGAGGCCGAGGCAGGAGGAGAGCTTAAGCCTGAGAGGTTGAGGCTACCGTGAGCTCTGATTGCACACTTCACTCCAGCCAGGCAGAGCAAGACTCTGTCTCAAAAAAATAAAAACTTAAATTAAAAAAGCAAAATTAAGGCATTCCCAAATGAACAAAGACTCGGAAATGTCATTGCTAGCAAATCTGCCTTGCAAGAAATACTAACGGGGTCCTTTAGCCTTAAAGGAACTGATACTAGACACTAGCCCAATGCACAGAAGAAATGAAGAAGGCCGAAAATGGCAACTATGTAGGTAAATACAAAAGACTATGAATATATATTGTCCTCATTTTATTTCTTTTAAAGACATAGGATTGTGGCCAGGCACAGTGGCTCACACCTGTAATCCCAGCACTTTGGGAGGCCGAGGTGGGTGGATCACCTGAGGTCTGGAGTTTGAGACCAGCCTGACTAACATGGTGAAACCCTGTCTCTACTAAATACAAAAAATTAGCCAGGCGTGGTGGCAGGTGCCTGTAATCCCAGCTACTTGGGGGGCTGAGGCAGGAGAATCGCTTCAACCCAGGAGGTGGAGGTTGTAATGAGCCAAGATTGTGCCACTGCATTCCAGCCTGGGCAGCCAGAGTGAAAACTCTCTCAAAAGAAAAAAAAAAAAAGGATTGTACAAAGCAAGGACTGACAAACTTTTCTTGCAAAAGACCATGTAGCAAATACTTTAAGCTTAACAGAGCACATGACCTCTGTTATAACTCCGCAGCCATCGCACAGAAGCGGCTATGGATGATAGATGCTGTGTAGATGAATGAGCATAACTGTTTCAACAGAGCTTAGAAAGCATAACGGAGGCTGGCTTGGGAAGACAGGCAATAGTCTGCGAACCACTTACACAAGGCAGCAATTCTAACACCGTGTTGCTGGGATTCTAACGTACACAGATGCAGCATAGACGTGACCGTACTGGTAAAAAGGAGCGGGAGGAGAGGGCACAGTTCGCCCTTCAGATCCGTGGGTTCTGTCTGCTGAGTCAATGAACCCTGGGTCAAAAATATTCTCCCTAATTGCATCTGTACTGAACACACACAGATTTTTATTGTCATTACTCGCTAAATAATACAGTATTGCCAACTATTCACAAAGCATCTCAGTTGTCTTACACATTATGAGTAATCTAGAGGTGATGCAAAGCATGGGGAGGGTATGGGTAGGTTCTCCACAAACACTGCGTTGTTTTGTAGAAGGCACTTGAGCATCCACGAATTTGGGATGCAAGGGAGGTCCTGGAAGCAACCCCCACGGATGCTAAGAGACAACTGTATCTTGGATCGAAGTTTCTATGATTTACCAGAATTAAGCTGGCATTGCTTGGGGCTACGAGCGGGATTGTGGTGAGGTTTGCACAACTCTATAAGGTTAGCAAAATGGTTGAATTGTTCATTTACAATGGGTAGGTTCTATGGTTTATAAATTATACCTCAATGAAACTGTAAAAGAAAAGGTAATTAACTGTATAAAACAAAAATTAAGTCAGGCAATCCCAGCCGTAATCCCAGCACTTTGGGAGGCTGAGGCGGGCAGATCACTTGAGGTCAGGAGTTCAGGAGCAGCCTGGCCAACATGGTGAAACCCCGTCTCTACTAAAAATACAAAAATTAGCCAGGCGTGGTGGTGAACGCCTGTAATCCCTGCTACTCAAGAAGCTGAGGCACGAGAATCTAGAAACCAGGAGGCGGAGGTTGCAGTGAACTGAGATCGTTCCACTGCACTCCAGCCTCAGCAACAGAGCAAGACTCTGTGGCCAAAAAATTAATAATAAATAAAATAAAATGTATTTTAGAATTTTACAAACACAGAAGTAACCCATATGACAGGATGGGGATGGAGTGCAGAGGCTGCTGTTGTGCAGCTTTTGAAGTAGGACCATCCTACCTGAAGGTAAACCGTAATAAGTCAGACATTCAGAGTATAAATCATAAAGCAACCATTAAAAAAATAGAAAGATGTACAGGTGACAAGCCAGTAGTGGAGCTAAACCGGAACTCTAGGCTGCTGCTCAGGTGGCCAGGCCCAGACCCCTGGCCTCCATGACCCCCCAGGAGAGCCACAACCTCCGTTTCCTCCACCTGCCAAGCCAGCCTGGGGTGCAGGGCCTTGTGCCTATAATCCCAACACTTTACGAGATCACTTGAGGCCAGGAGTTTGAGACCAGCCTGGGCAACACAGCGAGACCTCATCTCTAGAAAATAGCCACGCATGGTGGTGCACATCTGTAGTCCCAGCTACTCAGGAGGCCGAGGTGGGAGGACTGCTTGAGCCAGGAGGTGGAGGCTGCAGTGAGCCGAGATCATGTCACTGCACTCCAGCCGAGGTGACAGAGCAAGACGCTGTCTCAAACACCAAACAAACAAAAAATATCTAGATTTCTCTTTTAAAACACTGAAGTAAAAACCGGCAAAACTGAAAGAAAAAATAAACCACAATTATTATACAATGGGAGATTTTAACAGTCTCGGGAAATGACGGCCTTACAAAGTAGAACAGGGGAAGACACAGAACACTCGCAGCGCCCATCAACCAACGAGACCAAATCGGCACTCAGAGAACTCCTGACAGCAGCCGGTGCATGCCGCTCTCAGGTGCACAGGGGACAATCAGAGGCAGACCCCAGGCTGGCTCAGAAACCTGTCTCAACACATTTAAAACCGTTTCAATCATCCTAGGTCTCTTCTCTGACCGACGGACTCGAGAGAGTGTGGCAGAAACACAAACCAGTAAACAGAAAACCAAGTCCAGACAGGCCCACACTTTACACGGCCAATTAACCCTGTGCTGTTTGTTTTGCTCCGAGACAGTGTCTCACCGTGTTGCTCACGATGGAATGCAGTGGCACAACCTCAGCTCACTGCAACCTCTGCCTCCTACGTTCCAGCGTTTCTTGTGCCTCGGCCTCCCAAGTAGCTGGGATTACAGGCATGCGCCATCATGCCTGGCTAATTTTTTTTTTTTTTGTACTTTTAGTAGAGATGGGGTTTCACCATGTTGCCCAGGCTGGTCTGGTCTTTCTTGAACTCCTAACCTCCAGTTATCCACCCACCTTGGCCTCCCGAAGTGCCGGGATTACAGGTGTGAGCCGTCATGCGCGGCCACATTCCCGTAAAAGCAGCCCAGCTGTTCCAATGGAAAGCAAAGTCACCAAACGGTCCTGAACAGCTGGTTCTTAACTGGGAAACCAATCAACCTGGACCCCTCCGTCCCGTCACTCGTGAAAATGAACTTGAAGTGAATCATAGAGGCAAATGTAAAACCTAAAGCTCTAAAACTTCTAGAAGAAGACAGAAGAGACCGTCTTTACCACATTGAGGTCGGCAATTAGGATACAGAAGATACCAGTCATAAAAGGGAAACGGGTCAGAGTTGTCCTGATGTAAAACAATGGTCTGAAGAGCCTTCCTCTTCCTCAGAAAATGAAAAGGCAATGAATGCACCTGGCAAAGGACAGCTCAACAGAACACAAAAAACTCAATGAGAAATGGTCAGAAGACGTGAACAGACATCTCACTAAAGAAAATGCATGAATGTCCGATAAGCACAAGGAAAGATGGCCGGGCGCGGTGGCTCACGCCTGTAATCCCAGCTCCTTGGGAGGGCGAGGCGGCGGATCACGAGGTCAAGAGATCGAGACCATCCTGGCCAACATGGTGAAACCCCGTCTCTACTAAAAACACAAAAATCAGCCGGGCGTGGTGGCGCGTGCCTGTAATCCCAGGTGGAAGAATTGATTGAACCCAG